AGAGAGAGAGAGAGAGAGAGAGAGAGAGAGAGAGAGAGAGAGAGCACAATGGGGAGGGTCCAAGAAGAGTTTGCGTAAATATGATCAAAACACATTGTACGCATGTGTAGAATCTCAAGGAATTAATAAAAAAAATACTTAAAGTCAAAGTCTATCCTCCTCTCCTTACCCTCCAAGAAAGAGGGTATTCCTTCTTTTCAACGAGTTATCTAACATTCAAAGAACTCCAAGGAAAAACACGTAGTTGTTAACATAACTGTTCACGCCAGTGTGCATGCAGCGTAAAACAAGAGAGAGAACCCTGAACACTTCACACAGCCCATGAAAAAGAAACTGCTCTGGCCCATCCGCCAAGCCCTCCTTCCCAAACACTGTTCCCTTCCCTCCGCCTTTGGGATAACTCTCTCATCTTTTCTGTGCGGAGGGCCTCCCTGTCTGACCACCACAGCCCACTCTCCCTTTCCTTTCTCTTTGCTGCTGTCTGTTCAGATCTGGTCTATCTGGAACATCCCGTGTCTCTTCCTTCACTACCCCTTGTCACTTCAGACATTGTTCCTAGTAGGTTGGTGAGATGGCTTGGCTGGGAAAGGCATTTGCTGCCAAGCCCGATGACCCAGGTTCCATTCCCGGAACCCCTACAGTGAAAGGAGAGAACTGACTCCTTTAGGTTGTCCTCTGCTTCCACATATGCTGTGTATGTGTGTGTATGTGTGCAGACATGCACTCGTGCACACACACATGTATTTTTAAATGTACATAGCATTATTATGCATAATTGCTCCACACTAGAAAGCAACTCGGGTTTAATCTACAGGAGCCTGCATGAATATATTGTGCCGTTCAAATGATGAACAATCTATAGCTGAGTGAAACTTGAAAACACAACATGGGATGGGAAAACGGCAAGTCACAGAATACCATATGTCATGAGTTGCCATTTACATAGACCTCAGAAGCTAAGCAAAAACTGGATAACATACTGTTGAGGGATGCATAGTTACATGGCTTTTAAAGCTGTGTTTCAAGGAAGCATGATGGATTAAAAACAAATAGATTATATCCTTTTGACATTATTTTTATAATGATTAGACACAATCACAGGCAAACATTATTATTTAGCAGTGTGAATTAAATTTTTTAAATTACATTTATTTATTTATACATTTTTAATTTATTGTGTGTATGTAATGTATGCATTCACGCCACAGTTCATGGGGTGGGGACGTTCAGAGGACAACCTGCAGGAGCTGGTTCTCTCTCCAGCATGTGGGACTCAGGATCAAATGAAGGTTGCCTGGCATTGTAGCAGGTGCCCTTATCCATTGGGACACCATATCAGTGCTAGACATATGATTTCTAAAACTGTGTTTTTTTTAAAAAAAAAAAAAGAGAGAGAGAGAGAGAGAGAGAGAGAGAGAGAGAGAGAGAGAAGCCAGGCGGTGGTGGCACATGCCTTTAATTCCAGCACTTGGGAGGCAGAGACAGGTGGAATTCTGTAAGTTTGAGGCTAGCCTGGTCTACAAAGTGAGATCTAGGACAGGCACCAAAACTGCATAGAGAAACCCTGTCTCAGCCAGGCGGTGGTGGCGCACGCCTTTAATCCCAGCACTTGGGAGGCAGAGGCAGGCGGATCTCCGTGAGTTCGAGGCCAGCCTGGGCTACCAAGTGAGTTCCAGGAAAGGCGCAAAGCTACACAGAGAAACCCTGTCTCAAAAAACAAACAAACAAA